CACCCGAGAGGCCGACAGGCGGGACACATCCCAACGGTCGCACCGAGAGCACGCTGCCGGCGTCACCAGCGCCCACAGACTTCCCCAGGGCCTCCCACCATGTCCCGCCTACGCATCCGAGATCGAATTGCTCGCAAGAAGCGAGCACTGCTGCTGATGCAGTGGCAGCAGTCCTATAGCCTCTACATTTAGCATGTGGTTCGCTTCCCACGTCGCGGTCATCTACATCACTCTGGGTCTCCTGGCCATCGATGATATCCCAACCGGTGCTGCACGGAGGGACGTAGACAACTTCTTCAGCCCTCAGGATTGCGTGGAGTTTATGAGGTTTACGCGAGACCAGGTAATTCTATCTATTGAGTGACGTTGGTAACGCTGGTGCTGTGTTGCTGCTGTGTGCCTGCTGTGTGTGCCTGCTGCTGTCGGGAGTGGACAAAGAAAGACAGATAGACTAGACCATGACCGCACACAAAAGACCGCGAGTTGTGCTGTGACGAGAGCGACACCCGAAGGCACGAAATGCACACAGCAAGGTTGAGTGTTTTGTCAACGAACGGCTACTGCATGTATTTTGACAAACACTATCATGCTGCTTCGGATCTTTTTGTGCGGCAGATCGTACTCATGCTGGAACTGCTCATGGTGCCTGCCATCATTCGGACAGAGTGTGGCTTTGTGGTGGGCGGACGAGAGGCTCTTTGCGTGCTGCTGTACCGACTTGCGTTCCCGTACCGTTTGAAGGACATGCGTCTGGTTTTTCGGCCTGAGCGAATCCTGTATCTGCGAGACTTTCAACTGGATGCTACACTTCATGGATTTCAAGTGGGGGTTCCTCCTCTCGCTGGACGTTCAACGGCTGGTACCAAAGCTTCGTACTTTTGCGGAGGCAGTTTACAACAAAGGTTGTCCCCTGACACACTGTTGGGCCTTCATCGACGGAACTGTGCGCGGTATTGCACGGTATGATCCGGAAGCCGTGCCCCCGTTGATGGGTGGTACTTGTAAAAAAGCACTTGGGTGAAACGGCGTCATGTATGTCCCGCTACATTTGTATGTCTACTTTGGCGAACGGTAGCTAACCACAACAACCACTCGTACGGGTTCACTTTTACGAATAAGGAGCAAGGTGGGTAACATCGACCCCTAGACTACAGGGAAGATTCCAGAGGTGCTATTGCCAACACGACGCAAGAAAATGCACTCCGCTATATGCGGCAAACCTCACGACAACATTGTCGGATGCAAGAAAATAGATCGAATACCCCGTGCGTCATGTTGTCGACGATGCGTTTCAGGCCTATACGCAACCAGCGCTTTTTCTACAACGGGTACAAGAGGAAGCACGCTATCAAGTTCCAAGGAGTCGTGACGCCAGACGGGCTGTTTGTTGACCTGTACGGCGCAGAGGTTGGAACGAGGCACGACGGCTACTTGCTTGCNATTGTCGGATGCAAGAAAATAGATCGACCACCCCGTGCGTCATGTTGTCGACGATGTTTGCGTCTCAGGCCTATACGCAACCAGCGCTTTTTCTACAACGGGTACAAGAGGAAGCACGCTATCAAGTTCCAAGGAGTCGTGACGCCAGACGGGCTGTTTGTTGAACTGTACGGCGCAGTGGTTGGAACGAGGCACGACGGCCACTTGCTTGCGCAGTCTGCACTACTTGAGAAGCTACAGACCCACATGAACAGCCCTTCAGGCCACCGGTATTGCTTGTATGGTAATCCAGCGTACGGTCAGACCGATCACATACAGTGCCCTTTTAGTGTATCTGTCAATGGTCCCCTTACGCCCGCGATGAGAAACTTTAACAAGAGCATGAGCCGATGCCGAGTGACGGTCGAATGGGGGTTCAAGGAGATGACTAGCAAGTGGGCCTTCATTGACATGAAGTGCCAGCATAAGTTCCTGCTGAGCCCTGTAGCGACGCAGTACAAGGTAGCAACACTGTTGTCAAACTTCCACTCCTGCCTGAACGGCGGCAACCAGATTTCACAGTACTTTGGAGTAGAGCCTCCCACGCTGGAAGAGTACCTCAAGTTGTAAGCCTCAGCGGTTTGTCAGGGAAATATGTTGGTCCAATCGCACTTATGGTAGACAGGAAACTTGTTTGTGCCGAAAGGTTACGGCTTGCAAAGGGGGAAGTTGCAGATGGGGATGTAGTATTTCTTCCAATCAGGAGAGGACTTGTACTACCTGGTCATTAGGTTAAGAAGGAGGTTTCCGCACGAGGGCTAGGCAGTGTGAGAATTGTCACCACACCAAAGATCCCCAAAGGTGGTTTAGTTCCTATTCCACCGAGTGCTTCTGTGTTTGTTGGACAGCTGAGATGACGTCTGGCCTTTGCATCTGTTTCGTGCGGGGCTGGTTGCACGATGCACGATATAATTCGGGAGTACTGCAAGTGGTATTATTTCCTTTCTATGGCTGCCCCTTAGCCGTTCCACCTCCTTCCCCACCCTCTGTGGAACTTCGACTTAACACGTCAACTCCAGTGGACGTCGTTTTTATTTTGCAAGCACGCGCTCTCTCTCCGTTCAACCAACAAAAAAAACAACGAGGCACATGCGTGCACGGTGCAACACTAGACATCTCTTCCTCAGCATGTACTCACCCCCCCCCGCCCGCCCCGGCAACGCCGTGTTTTTTTTTCAAGCACGCGCTCTCTCTCCGTTCAACCAACCAAAAAATATGAGGGATATGCGTGCACGGTGCAACACTAGACTTCTCTTCCTCAACATGTACTCTGCGCTCCCTCTCCGTTCAACCAACCAAAAAATACGAGGCATGCGTGCACCGTGTGACAGCATCCCGGACCTTAAGACTCTGCCTGGTGCTTCGCTAGCTGTGCCTGGTACTGCGCTAGCTCCAGCTGCATCTTCAACTTCTTTAGTTCGAAGTCCTGTAGGTCCTGCCGCTCCCGCCTCTCGTCGTCCCGCTCGTCCTTCCGCGCCTTCCTCTCCCGGTCCCACTGCTCTTGGCGGAGTTCCCTCTCCCTCTCCTCCTTACGCTGCTGCTCGGCAAAGTCCCTGTCGCTCCTCGCCTTTGGCCAGAATTCGTACCAAAAAAGGCTGACTTCTCTTTATACTGTCACACCGATGCTACGATACATCGAAACTCAGCGTCTTCCAACCTGTAAAATAAGCCCCCATTTGTACGGAACAAAAACGCTGCGCAGCAGTTCCCCTGCGGTCCCGAAAGAGCTCCCCAAACACAGGGCAGCTCCTACAAGCTAGCACGTCCCCGCCCAGTGAATGATATCCAGCACCAAGCTCACGCCGCTTGGAATCGCCATCGCTGCGGCTCGCCAGGAAATACGAAACATCCGCCCCGCCAACACTCAGCAGACTTCGCCATGCCTGGACATCCAGATCGCGGGGCAGCGATGAAGTTCTACATTGGCTTACTGACGGACTGGACGTGGCCGCTCTCAACTATGAACCATGACACCGCAGCCGCCTGGGGTCAAGGGTAAGGGGTCTCGGAGCACCCAACTCACTGGTTAGATAAGCCTACTCACCCGCCCAGCACCAGCTGCCTGACGCGTCCGGACTGCCGGAAATGTCGACAATCCTCTTGATGAAACACGTAGCCTTCGTCCTACTCACACATCCAGACAGCCGGATTACCAGACCCGTCAGTTCTGCAGACCTGCCACCTGTCTCGCCCCCCACATCCTAACCGCCGACTAGCTGGGCGGCCTGTCCCTCAACGAGGAAGAAAGCGACCAATTCGAGAGCAAAACGCCCACCAGCCAGCAACAGCAGCCACTCGCCCATAACGGCGGATTCGATTGCCGTAGCCAGGGTAACCGCCACCTCCATAACAACATAGGACCTCAGCACTGGGGCTGAAATATATGTCCGGGCCTTTTCCCAACAAAACGAACCAACGCCTAACACATACAGAGCAGGTAAGGCGCAGTAGGCCGGCAATAGGCAGAGTAGGCTCACGACCATCCCTACTGATGCTTCAGCAAAACATGCCCCCGCGGCAATGTACACCGACGCGAAGAAAAAAGCCGTGACTCCCAACATAAAAACTACAGGCCCCAGCACTGGTACGGCGTACATGGCCTCCATGAGGATCTGCAGGAGCACGGCATCGCCCGGGTCAAACACGCTACTGCACCACTGGACCCAATTCGCCAGAGCCCCACCGACACAAAAAGGGATAGTGGCCAGGTACACAGGCAGGTAGTCTGTCCGCTCCGCGCAGACACATTCTTGCATCAGGTCACAGACTTCCTCCTTGAAAGCCCCAGTCCCCCCCAACTGGTCCAAGACCACTGTTATCATCGGCAACGAACCGGACAAGGTAAACAGAAGGATTGCCATCACTGAGGGCTTTTTGGGATCCCCCTCTTCCAGGGCTGCCGGCAGCCGGAGGACGTTAATAGCCTCCCCTTTCGCGCCATCAGGCAAACCCTCGGGCGGGTCGGCCCGTATGGGAGTCAGTACATAGAACGCCAGAAGAAACGGCAGTTTGACCGCACAAACCATCAGGTCCCAAAAAGACGTGTCATCCCTTTTGCTCATTTTCGCCCGTGAACAATTCCTCTAGAAGAATAGCTCCCCCTGAGTCTTCCCCAGCACCTGAGATTGATGGGGAGGGGCAGGGAGGGCAGGAGATAGGGGGAGTAGAAACGGGGGATTCGGGAGGGGATGATGAGGTAGAGTCGGTTGAGCCGGGAGGGCATGATGTTGTAGAGCCGATTGGGTCGGGAGGGCAAGAGGTATAAGCAGGTGATGTAGTGAAATTGCCAAAAGAATAAATTCAAGACGTTGAGTCTGAGCCTAATAGCTATCAAGAAGCCCGGCGAGGTCGCCGAGGTGAGTGATAGCTTTTTTCATGGTTTGTTTACAGAGCCCGTCAACCCAAAAATCACCGTGTGTGTAAGGTTACAGAAAAAGTGCAAGATACACGGTATCTTTGCACGTGCCATTGGGTATCAGTCACGGGGCTTACGGCGCAGCCAAATAGCCCTCCGTTCATGTCATGGGGGCTCACGGGGACAAACTGATACAACGTGCAGCCAAATAGCGTCCCGTTTACAGGTAAGAGTGATCTACCCTTTCACGGTGCAACAATAATAGCCTCATTGTACGGGGGATGATGATGTTGTTTCGTGTTCGCGTGCAGTGTCAATTGGTTTCAGGGGGCAAAAACATACTCTTAAGTTGGTATATTGTTTTTGCCGCACCTACGGGGGTGTACCCAAAACGTGTCCTATTTGTAACAATTTACGTCAAATGTGCACAAAGTGAGTACACTCCCACGGGGCAGCGAGCTGATACCACGTGTAGCCCGAATAGCCTCCTTTTACGGGAGAACGACGGTGTTTTGTTTTAGCATGTGATATCGTTTGGTTTTCAGGGGGCAAACAGCACGGTTGGGTGCCTGTTCATCGTACTGACATGGGTACCCAAAACGTGTCCTTTTCATGACAATGTCAGCCAAATGTGCACAAAGTGGGTACAACCTCAAGAGGGAGCGAACTGATACAGTGCGCACCCGGAATAGCCTCCTTGTACGGGGCAAGGACGGTATTTTTTTGTTTCTGCATGTAGTAGGGGGCAACAAACACGTTTTACAACAATGTAAGTAAAATTTGCACAACGTGGGCACACTCTCACGGGGCAGCGAGCTGATACAATGCGCAGCCACAATAGCCTCTGTTTACGGGGGAAGGACGGTATTTTGTGTTTGCATGTATTTACGTTTGGTTTTCAGAAGGCAAAAAGCACGTTTGGGGATGTTTCCATCGTACCTACGGTGGGTGCCCAGAACGTGTCCTATTTACAACAATGTAGTCAAATGTGCACAAAGTGGGTACACTCTAACGGGGGAGCGAACTAATACGACGTACAGTCAGAATAGCCTCCTTTTACGGGGGAACGACGGTATTCAATAATTGTGTGTTTGCAGTATCGTTTGGTTTCAGGGGGCAAACAACACGTTGGGGGTGTTTCCATCGTACCTACGGTGGGTGCCCAGAACGTGTCCTATCTTTTAACGTCAGCCAAATTTGCACACAAAATGGGTACACTCAGGGGGGACCGAACTAATACAATGCACAGCCCGAATAGCCTCCTCTCACGGGGGAGCGGCGATCATTTCCCTTCGCACGCAGCATCGTTTGGTTTCAGGGGGCAAATAGAACGTTGCATGTGTTGTTCACCGTATCTACGAGGGTGCACCAACTGTCCTATTTAAACGAAAGCAGAATATCCACAAAGAACGGAGAGCGAAGTGATACCAAGTGCAGCCTAAAAATCGCTGCGTTTCGTTTCGTAACGCTTTGACGACGGTTGTGTATCCCCGAGGCTTGCTGCAGCAAGGGAGAAGTTGTGCTTCATGGGAGAGTTTGTCGGCACGGTTCTCGGAACGTGTCGGGTACAGAAAACACATGGGAGACGGTACAACCAGCTTATCGCGCACACGCGCAAGCTCATAGGGGCTGCCCATGCGTCCTGCCCCCAAACTTCTTCGCAGCTGACTTCGCCACGTGGTTAGTATTGAGACCTACTCTACCGCAAGGCCAGTTTTCTTCAAGACCGCATCGAAAGTTTGGTACAAGAACGGTCCGAGCGTCTCCTGACTCTCATCTGATCGGGCGTTGATTTTGCAGACAAGATGGGCGTGCAGCGCTGGTGGGCCCTGTCTTCGAGTACAATGCGCACCCTGGCTACTGCTGATGGCTCCGTCTGTCGTTCGGTTTCGGGACATCGAACAAGGCGTTCACGCGCAGCCGACCATGACAAAAAGAGTGACTACTGCGTAGATAAAAAGTGCACGACCAAAAGACAAGCGGCTTCAACCCAGCGGTGTAAGGCATCAAAGGTCACTACGGGGCTTACGCTGCAGATCATCAAGCTTGAACGATGATTCTAAACACCTTTCGTCACCAACTCAGCACAAGAGCAGCAGGTACGCTGCAACGAGTAGAACTGCTTCTTCACATCAACATCCCGAGCGGCAAAATGGAAGATTTCGGTGCCAAGAAAAAAAGGGGTGCGCGGAAGAACAACAAACTTCAGCGGAACATGACCATGACAAAAAAGGGGACACGACTCCAAGACAATAGGGCACGACAAAAACAATGCTGATTCACCCCAGCGGTGTACGACGTCAAAGGTCACCACGGGGTTTATGCCGCAGATCATCTAACTTCAACGACTAAACTAACAAACCTTCGTCGCCAACTCAGCACAAGAGCAGCAGGTTCGCTGCAGAGAGTGGAACTGCTCCTCAGCAGTTACACGACATGCAACGACTTCGTTCGGTGGAAAAACAAGGCCAGTTTTCTGCACGACCGCATTGAAAGTTTTGGTAAAGGGACATTCCGAGCGTCAACTTACTCTCACCAAATCGAGCGCTGATTTTGCAGACAACATGAGCGTGCGGTGCTGGTGGACCCTGTCCTTCTTGAGTACAATGCGCACCCCGGCTACTGCTGATGGCTCCGTCTGTCGTTCGGTTTCGGGACATTGAACAAGGCGTTCATGCGCAGCCGACCATGACCGAAAAAAGAATTACCACTGCGTAGTAGATAGAAAGTGCAAGACAAGCTGCTTCAACCCAGCGGTGTAAGGCATCAAAAGTCACTACGGGG